AGCCAGAACTAATTAAATGGTCTGATCACACAAATCATATCAGAAGTGTTTCATCTGGTTTAATTAATTCTTGCCAGAAATCGCTGCTACTTTTAACACATGCTGAATGATCTTTTTTTTATTAATTTTTTTAACAGTTTCCATTTACATCTGTTTCCAGTACTGCTGGGATTCTCCCTTTCTGTAGATAAAGTGGGAGTGTTTACAGAAGCCTTACTGCCAGGGAGTTTTTTAACCCTAGGGACAGACAGTATGGCAAATACCTTGTAGGTCAGGAAAGGGGACATTTACACCTGCATCTAAGAGGGGCTTTTTTAGCTACAAAAGCAGACAAATAAGATATATGCTCTTTAGTCCGCCCTCCTGCTTAACTCTTAAATTGCTGGTGACAAGTGCTCTGATGAGAATGCAATGGTTATCACTAGGAAGAGGACAAGGCAGCTCTATCAACACTGTGCAATCTTCAGTAGCCTTTTTCTCCCAGCACATAAACTGTGGACAGGTTATGTTGGTCACTGCTAGCCAGCTCGACTTCAGGGCATTTCTTTGTCAAGCAGAACAGGCCTTAGCCTGATTTCCTGAACCAGGCAGCAAATGTTTGCAGCTGCGGTTTGGTCTCAAGGCTTGAGAGCATTCAGGTCTAAGCATAGGGTCTGCAGCCCTGCAAACACAACCCTGAGTCGGGAGAGTGTTTCTGAGGAACATGAGCATGCTTTTGTCTGCTGTAGGACAGCTTATGTGTTTTGGCTTTTGGCAGATGTTAATGGAAAAGACACTTCCTTATGAGGTATTTAGGAAAAAAGCTGCAGGAATATTCCTGTATTTAGAGCCTGCTGTCTGGGTCTCTGAGATTAGAGGTTTGGATTCAAGACAGTTCTGTGATTCACCTCTTGATCTCACACTACTGTACTACTAGTAGTACCTGTCTGTGTCCACACAAGGGTGGGAGCAGCCCAGTGTTTATCTTTGTGGTCTTCAATTTCTGTATTTATTTCTCAACTGATAATACATTTATTGCTCAGACAGAATTTCAAATCAAGGGGTTACAAGTGATCACAGAACAAGTCCTCACATGCTGCAGATGTGCAGTAATTGTAGTATTGATTTGCCCTTAAGTTGTAGTTGCAAGACAGCACTGTGCAAACTGGCTACAGAAATTCTTACCAACAGGAGGACAGAGGCTTGCTCTAGGGACTGCTGCTTTGGATGTTAAGACCAGAAAAAATATGAGAATAGTATTATTTTCCATCTGACTTTCATGAGGACAAGTGACAGGCTTTAAAGTTTAAAATAGCACTATTAAAGCAGTATAAAAATGTACATATTCAAGATATGTCAGTAAGATGGGACATTGTCACAGAATAATGGGTGCTAGCTGCTCGGCATTCAAAGTAGGACAAAAAAGAGGGAGACGCTAATGTAATTCTCAGTTTCCTAGGGAGCAGAGAATGAGAAATAAATAGAGAAGAGGGACAGTGCAACACTTCTGAGTATAACCCTGCCATGATAGGAAGTGTTTGAGCAGGGTTCTCTATGGCACTGCACTTCAGAGCAGTGTTTGTGCCTTAGCACAGCTGACACTCTCTGTGTCATCCTATCCCTGCCGAAAAAACACTTAACCGAGACAGAAGCAAAGCTGTCTGCTAGGCTCTTACGCCTTTCCATCTTAGCAAATGTGGTCAGCCATAGGCCTTTTGAAAAGCAGGGCCTGAGAAACCTTCCCCATGCCCTTGCTGGGGTTGGCTGTACTGCCAGGATCATGCAGGTCAGCTGTGAGAGCTGCCTTGCTCCAGCTGGCAGAGCTGGAGCACTTGGCTGTTTTGTGGCTGTGACACAAGGAAACTGCTGAGCTTTGACATGAGAAAGGCCTTGTCTCCCTGGGAGGTGGCTTGCCTCTTTCCCTGCCTCCTCTGTTCATGTATGTGGTTCATTACTCTGTCCCCTTTTGGTGTTGACTTTGTAAATTGTGGTAATACCAGTGCCTAGAATTCTTCCTCCCCCAGAGAATTGTTAGAAGTGCTCAAAGGTGCTGTAGAATGGCCTGTGGGCTCAGCGCTGGGGGGTGGAGGGAGCATTCCCATGGCAGTCTGAGAGGACAGGGGCTGTGAATTGAATAGATGCAAGTCCTGAGGAGGAGACCAGCTGTCTCCTGGGAAATGTTGGTGTTGGCACACTGCCCCCTGCCCCGTCCTCAGTCCCCGAGGCTTCCATACAGACCAGACTTGCCTTGCAAAAAAGAGCCCTCAGGCTCTGTCCTGTGGTCATGTGCCCTATTCCCCAAATGTTTGCACTCTGCCTTTGAGATAGCACAGGCTCTGTGTGCTATGGCCATATTGGGGCATCACTCCAACAGTACAGTTAAGGTTGTGTTTGCTCATTCCTTAACTCTTTATTTACTGGTTTCCAAGGGAATAGCTAGGACTGACATTCAAGAAAGGCGCTACATACTCCTGGCAAACTTCATTAATTTCTTTGTCAGCAAACTTCATGCTTTTGAAAATTTATAAGAGGAATATAACTTGTTGAGCATCCACATTGATGACATCAATTTACAAGTCAGAAATTCCATGGCCCTGAGGATGCTGCTGGAGCGAAGAAATATGACTAAGTGCTCCTTCACAGCCTGGATACTTCACCACACTTAAAGGGTGACAGAGGCAGTACTTTGCTATGAGTATTCTGTTAAAAAGGCAGTGTGAGGAATCCCAGGGCAGCACCTGCCTGGACTGGGGCAGGGAGCCACACCTCCACCTTGCATGGACTCTGGGATGGGTGTCTATGAGCCGGCCAAGTCCACAAGCCTGGCTCTTGCATTAGCCAGCAGGCAGGGCCAGTTAGCATGAGCATGGGCCTAACAGGCACAGAAACATGGCTTCACACCAGAGTTTTCTTTTTGGTCAGCCTGAAACACAAGAAAAGCAAATGTACATGCAGCTATAGCTGTGTCCACAAGCTTCTCGCATTTCAGTCTCAATGGTTTTTATTGCTCTTTCTCTGCTCTCCACAAACACTTTTCCCTACACACCATTCTTAATCTCATTAAGAAAAATGCTCAGTTTTCTGCCTTGTGTCCCTTATTACCAGGTCAACATGGTGCAAGTGATGTGGATTAGACTTTTTCAGTGATATGGGGCAAGCTGTAGGTAAAACTGACTCTCATGTCTCTTTTAAACTCCCTCTGGTTCCAAAGCCACGGGGCTCTACCTGCCTTCACCTGTTATCTTAGCCTTAGTCCATTTCTTAGTCTCCCTCTTAATTCTAGCTGAACCTTATATGGTTGCATAAGGTTTTTCAATCTTTATGGGTGCGTTTCAAATTCAAATTTGGGGTTCCTTCTTTTAAAAAGCATTTCACCAAAGCATTCAGAAAATTTCCCCTTTATTTTCTTCTTCAATTGAAGCAGTTCAGATTTAACTGAAAAATGGTTTTGCTTAATTCATAACCATATTTTTGGGGTGCATGGGGAGGTAGTGAGCTTCCTACTTGCTCTGCTTCTGAATGATTTAATCACTTCATTAGAGATATTTTAATGAAATACCTAGGTAGTTATTTTGGTTTGGGTTTGGTTTTTTTATTTCATTGCAGATAAATATTTTCTGTTTATGAACAAGATAGCTTCCTCAGTGTCTGGTTTTCATTTTTAGGGAATAGTCAGCCAACTAACAATCTTACTGGCCAGCACTGATTCTGCTCAGCTGGAGATGTTTTGCAGTGTGTGCTATCACACAGACCCCACATGGCAACACTTTGTACAACAACCAAAAAAAGACAGGGATAAGAGGGCATGTGACAGTAAATCCCATCATCTGAAGAGTCCCCAGAGACTCTTCAGAGAAGGGAACATTCCTTATGCATGTTCCACAAAAGCCCAAAAGGTGACGAGTGACACTTCCCACTTTCATTTCTTTGCGAAATTTTGGTGTCATCACATGTGTCTCTACTTTGCCACTAGTGTTTGACTATTTCCCCATAGAAAGTAAAGTGCCAGCTCACTCTTTGCTATTCTCTGTCTCTTAATGATCAATTATTTTTAATTGGAACCTCTTGCATTGTGCCCAATCTTAAGAGGTCCCCATCAAGATCAGGGCTTCAACAAGATGGGAACAGTACCAACACATATGTGGGGACAATAGAGATCTTTTTTTTTTGTCCCAAAGAGCATGATCCTATTTAGAGAAGGGCAGAAAAAGAAATGGAGATAAGAATGATTGGAAGAATTTGCAGACCATGGGCAAATTTGGGAAAAGTATGACTGTCTCCTGACTTCTAGTCTGGTGCCCTGTCTGCTGGCACACACTGCTTCTCATTTACTAATATGTCATTGTATGTGCAGAATTACATTTAAGGATAAATAAAATAGGCTGGTATTGCTACAAAGAACTTTTTCAGCTAAATAAGGTGCAGCAAGGGATGATGCTGAGAGGTGGACATTGTGAAAATAACGGTTCTCATGACACAGTTTTCCATCGGCTTGTTTTTATGTCTATAACTTATTATTACATCTTTAATGTCTGTTTTCAGTGCTACAGTGAAATGCTGACCAAAGGACACTTTGTTAACAAAGCTTTAATGAAACTTGGTAGCAAAACAGAGGAGTCCTTTAAGTGAAATTGCTGAATTTCTTGAAATTGTTTTCTGAGAAATATTTGTTTTCAGTTCTCATGTTGAGAGGTTTAGATAAAGATTCAATTCAGAATTCAGTACAGGAAGATCTTTGCTTGAGGAAAATGATGGACATGGAATTAAGGCATTAACTTTGTTTATGTTGACTTTATTAGTTGAAGTGGCAAAATTCTTAAGAACTCTCAAAGACAGAAAACTAAATCCCTGTCTGTGGGCTATGATACAAAGTTCCGTGCCTTCATAACTGCAAAACCATCCACAGATTAATTAGTCATTGCAGGTCAGGGATTTTTTACCAGAAAAGACAGTTGGTGGCTCAAAGTAACTGTAAAGCACAGACTTTTAAATCTTAAATGCAGGACTTAGGTTTAGCCTACCATAAAAGCAGAAGCTGCCGTGAGGTTTGATCCGAGCTCTGGAAACCCAGCCTACGACCTGCCCCTGCTAGAAGAGCAGTATGGTTCAGGCACAGGCGCTGTTCCGTCCCCTCGCACACGGCTCGGTTCGGTCTCAGCTTCCCGCGGGCGCTCTGAGCTGCTTTACAGAGGCCAGATCTCTGCCTTCATCTACTTTGTGCCGGAATTCTTTAGCCGTCGTGAGAGTTGTTTCTGCAAATCCAATTGCTGATTTATTATCTTCAGAGAGCAGAATGTGTAAAGAAAAACAGTACGAGTAAATCCTCTCTCTAGAAGGGCTTTCTATCCACTCACATAATCCCGCTTGGTTCCAGCCTGGTATGCATAGCTGTGGAAGGGTGTCAAATGACATCCTTTTTACTGGCTGTTGGCCCTAATGGAATGCTTCTTCGCACATCTCGTAAAGTAAGGGCAGGAAATGCTGCCTGAGACTTCTACATTTTGCAGTTAATTAAAAAAATAAAATTAAAAATATGAGAGGTAAGAGCACGACAAATAAGAAATGCTCTTTTCATCATGGATCAGATAAAAAAGATTCCATCTTTACATTTTAGTTTTTTACCCTTTCTAAAGACTGACTTGCTTTAGATAATCAAAGCTGGCTTTGAACTAACCCACAGAAAAAAAAAAAATCTTTTTTTTTTTTTTCTTTAAAAATAGCCCTATAGATATATATACATATCACAGACTTTCATTCTTTTTATAGACAGTTTCATTTTCTGGGAGAATATGAAAGTTCTGAGCAATCCGGAACTCACACAGGCACAACAACAAACACAGGGAATGAGGACCAGCCACACTACTGCAATTAACACCAGTGTTTAATTAGCAGACAGCTGCATTGGGCAAGGGCCTTTTGATTTTCTTTCTTCACTGGGCTTTTGATGAGAGATTTACCCACAGTTGTAACTTCTAGCTGTTACACTCGCATGCACTCTGCTAGATATGCACGCACACACATACACACGCCCCACATGGAAAATCTGTGGAAGGAACCCATGTCAGGCAAGTGATCTGATTTGTCCCTTAGGTAAATATTTTTGGAAGCAGTTCCCTTTGACTGTCTTCCATGAAAAATCTATGTTACAATTTTGTTTACTGGGCAGGGTAAGCTATAAATTCGTGTATGCTTTGGTGCTTTTAGGAATCCTTTTCTGATTTGTTGGTTTACTTTATTTAGCAACAAAAACCTGATGTATGATGAAGGTGAATAGGTGCAGAAGTCTGCCCTGGGAAAGGCTGGCATCAGGGCAAGACACAAATTTCTACCCCAGTCAACTTCGACACTTCTGTATTTCATTGGTGAAAGAAGTGTAATAGCCTCATGCTGTTCCCTGTTGTTAAGGCAGGAAAATGTCCAAACATCCAACTAATCCTTCTCCTTGGCCATCATTAGTAATGAGAAAAATGTTACTTGAGGTCATGGTAGCAGAAAGAAACTCTGTTGAGGAACTAAGAGATGAAGTAAAAACATGGCAGGGAAAGTGAATTCTCACTACTATGGGCTTGGATGAAACCTTGGTCCACTCTGCTTTAGGCCTACTACCAAGGTGTAGATTCAGCAGCAAGCTGAAGCGAGCAGCACTTATTTAAAGGGGAACAGCAGAGATGTCATTGAGCCTGTTGATGATAATGGTGTTTATAACATATAGCAAATGAGGGCTTGGTGAGCACTGGAAGTGTTAAGAACCTTGTAGTACCAGCACAGGCCCAAACCCTTATTCCTGCTATGCCTAAGCACCACTGTAACACAAGTCCATTTTGTCTGACATGCATGCCCAGTTTAATGTAATTCTTTATTTACCTGGCTTGCCTCTTTATACCCTCTCACACTTTATATTTGAGCCTGGCTAGATGATACTCCTATGAAAGTAGGTCCTCAGCCTGACCAGTTTTAGATAACATATTGGAGAACATACAAATAATTTATTCTAGCTGGTGGTCTTAAATTGGCATTCTCTAAAACATAATCTACCTGAAAAATATCAGACTGTGGGACAAAGGCCTGATAGGGTATTTATATAAACTCTATTATAATCATATTAAACTTCTTCTGATTTTGAGAGTACTCATTCTCACAACATCCCTATAATATAGAGAAGTGTCACTGCTCCAATTCTATAGAGAAGGAATTAGAGACAGAGACAAGATTTTTCTAGATGTGCACCTGGGAATTTAAATGTTTACCAGAAGTGCTTTCCATGTAACCTGCCTCCATTTTCAGCTGCTCAAATACTGCTGGAAAATGACTGTATGTGATCTGGCCACCATCTGTGATTGTGCAGGTAATCAAGCACTTGTCTTTCAAATCTTAGATTAGTGCCCACTTGCTAGAACACCTTTTTGTGTCCATTTGGGCCAGATAACATGTTTTTCTTCTACTGCAGCTCCTGGCAGAATTCCCTATTCACCACAAGTTTTTCAAGTCCCTCAGAATGTTAGCCTGAGGAAAAGGACAGCATAGTGGAAATTATCTCCTTGCCTGCCCTGAGAATGACTTTGCCTTCCTGCAGATTGGATTGAGAACAATGCTAGAGTTTCAGTACCTTCAGTAAAGCTCAAAGTAGGGGAGAATTTGGCCTCTTTTTGTTCTTCTTTCTAGATGTCACCCTGGCCCTTTGGGATTGAAGTTTTAATTGTAAGGTTATGGCTACCCTGATAGCCACACAGCGGAGACTAATTTCCAAGATCTGTGCAGCCAAAGTCTATTCACATAGGCTACTCCTCTAGGCAGCAGACTCAGATCTTCTGTGTGTATTTGTAAGGGTAACATGCTTAAGTGAAGAGTTGCCTATTACCAAGACAGGTTGTGATACAACCTGGGGCAGCCAAAATGAACAAATTTTTGTAATCAGGATTTCTTGACTAGTATGGATTAGTGATCTCCTCCAATTTATAGTTGTCATTTTAAAATGTGCTCTAGGCCCTGCTTATTCCTGCTTTTTATCCATATTCTCATTTATCCCATAGTTTCCTGGCATGTGTAGGCTGGGGGTACAGAGAGGAGCAGGTGATCAAGAGGAGTATGTGCTCATGACCCTGTTTGGGGCTGTCCTGGCATCATTCAGCCAAATCCCATCTGGCTGCAGCTGTGGTAACACAGTGCTTGAGCCTGGTGTTTACCTGAATTAGGATAAAGTGCTGTCTGTGCCTTATTTCCACTGATCTGATTTTGAGACAAGCAGTGCCCAGCCACCTGAACTAGGCAACCTCCTACCTTGGGTTTAAACAGCATCAAAACCCTCCCTTGTACCTCCCTCCTCTGACTGCAGCACAAACTGGTTTGTCTGAGCAGTGTTGAATTCTGGTGTATATATTTTAGTTTTAGTTTGGCCAAAATGTGTTGATTCTAAGTGGGGCATTTGGGAATTTGCCATGACTGTATCTATTCCCCCCATCCTCTATATTTGTGCAGTGTTGTATTTGCCAAAACTACACACATGTTGTGTAGCATGAAAAAAATTATCCTGGTTTTTATAGGGCAGGCTTGGCAATAGTCTTCCTCAATGCACAGTTAAGAGTGCTGAAGACTCACAATGTCATCTTCTCCGTTCCAAGCAACAGGTTAAATTTCTTTCAGCAGGATTCATGGTTTTAAAATAAAAAGGAGCAGAAGGCATGTATGAAGGGTGGGTGTATATGCAGGATGTATATGAAGTACCTGTAAAGTCTGGAAGGAAATGAGTGAGATGAAGAAAAAAAAGAGGCTATTTGAAATGCAAGCTAGTAATTTGGCTTCTAAACCCATGTGAAATTATAAGTAATGTTTACTGTTGCCAGTTGGTGAATACTGAGATGTGTGGTTTTTACTTGCATGCAAAGCTATTGGTTGTGGGTGAAGTACTTAGACAAAAACATTCAATCATCCGTGTGGGTATTCCACCAAAAATAAACCCAAACAATCACTGACGTATTACAAAAGCTCTTTTTTTCCGTGGAGACAAACATTCAGTTGCTGCTGCTATTCATGAACTCTAGAGCAGTAGAAGCCTCCTCTTTAACTTGCCTGAAACAATAATCCTTCATTTTAGAAAGTAACAGTAATGTCTTTGAAACTGAAGAACCAGTGTTTCTATAGTTTTCATGAAAATATAGTATATGGTGTACACTTACAGGGATATGGATCAGTGATAACTATTACTTGCCAAGTTATTGTGAACCAAAAAAAGCTGCATAGACAAGAGCTAAAGGTAAAGGTGAGGGAACTTTTCTTAAATTTAAAAAAATTAAAGTGGGCTTAAACATTAGTCAGAGAAAAACATTTTGCAGTGATTATCAAAGGTTAGTAAAGTCTTATTTTTCCTCCATTTTTCCAGAGAGCTTCACAAAGATTTTTTGAATTGTACTCCATTATGAAAGTAACTGCTACTTTGTTATCAAAATGCTGATAAACATTTTTATTACAGAAGGCCAGACACTATCACTACTTGAAATTCTCCAAATTGTTTCCACTGTGAGCAAATTCAATCTTGATGTGAGTCACATCTGCTTAAAAGTGAATAGCAGTTGCTTCTACTTTATATCAGCATCAAATTTCACCAACAATTTCAAATTTTAAAAATGATCTTAAATCCCAGGATTTGGATAGTTTTTTGTAAGTGACTTTAAATCTGGAAGTACTATTTATTTATTTAGTACTAAATATTTAGGAAATACTAAAATGAAAGCATTCAGCTTTAATGGTTTCTGGTGGAAATAGAGACTTTTTTTTTTCAGATATAAATGTCTCATGAACTAAAAAAAGTCTCTATATAGAGTTTTTCTACATATGGAGAAAAAAATAGTGATCACGTGTGAACAGTTTCTCATGCAGCGAGTGCGGATGAGTGGAGGGCCGTGGGACAGGCCCCCTGCACGGGTCGCAGGCGTAGCTTGGCCCTGATGTATTAAGAATTGATTGCATGTTTAGCAATGCAGCTGTAGCTGCACAGCACAGGGGTGTCAGTCACACCACTGCTCCTGGCGGCTGCCAGTCCTTCACAGCACAAGCTGCTGCAGCCGTTCTGGCCGGCACTGATGGATTAGTGGGGGGAAATGTTTATAGAAAGGTTCAGGTTTCCTGAGTGAGTGGAATGAAACCCCCCTCAGCAATGATCAGCAAGCTCATGTCATGGAGCAGTTTGAAGCAGCCTGACTGGCAGGAACGCAGAAGTCTTTTCAAAAAGGAAACTTGACAAGTGAGCAGTTCTGGGGAACAGCAAGACGTGTTTTCAAATAAAAGATGTGGCTCTTCCAGAGAGGCAGCATGAATGGGGCTAGCTCTTAAAAGAACTTTTAAATCAGTAGTTCATACACTATAAAAGGTTAAGTTTGAGAGCACAGTGTCCAAATAAAATAGCAGCCTCAAAGTGGAACTATTACACACTATGCTTAGTAAATTAAATAATGTTGCAGTGAACCACCACTCCTGTGATGGCATCTAGCTAAGGCATCTTAGATCTAACTCTGTTCCTTAACTTAAATTTTAGTATTGGCATAATTGAAGGTACAGGAAGTGTGATGAATGCAGACAGTAGGCTGAAATCCTTGTGAAAGAAATGCTGTGAAGTATCATCATTTCACAGGTG